TCCAGAAATGGGGAAAAAAAAAAAAAAGAAACAAACAAACAAATTTGACATCTGAGCCCACCTAAAAACAGTTTTAAGTTCTCTGTAATTTTTTTTTTTTATAGTATTGAGGATTTACTCAGAGATACATTATCGTTGAGTTATATCCCCAGCCCTTTTTATCTTTTGAGACAGGTCTCAGTAAGTTGCTGAAGCTGGCCTTGAACTTGGAATCCTCCTGCCTTAACCTCTCCAGCTGCTAGGATTACAGGCGTGACACTGCACCATCTGGGTCTCTATTTCTTATCTGAGGTTATAATATACTTACATGTCTCCCTAAACTATTAATAGAGGTTTTCTCCTGGTGGATGATTATGTGGGTTTTTTTTTTTTGTTTGTTTTTTTAATGGTACTTACTTCTGTAATGCTGTATCACTGACATTAAAAAAAAAAATAACATTGTGGATGTCTTTCTTTGGAAGGAGTCAGGTTGAAGAGCAGCCCCTAGTCCCCTTCTGTCCTAGTTTAGTCTGAAAAAGGTACTGATATATATAATTCTTCTCTCTCATAAGCTTTTCACCACTTGCTTCTGATGATTAAATCTAAGTTATTTGAGGAAAAAATAGCAATTATGAATTATTTTTATCATTAGAAAACACAGTGACAAATCTGAAGAGGGTATTACTCTATTTTATGTTGGAGGATAGAGTAGTAAAGCTGATAGCTAGTAGCAGAATTCAAACCTAGATCTCTTCACTCCCAAAATTCTGTTTTTAACAAGGATGCCATATTGCCTCCTTTTTATGTACTACCATGGAAAGCTCTTGTCAACTCTGAATTTCTTTTCCTTCCTGGTGGTAGCAGCTGGTTGCCCAGAGCCAGAGGCCTCTAAGAGGGCAAAAGAATGGTTGGTGCATGCAGTCATCATTACCCTTGGAAAAATTTTATACATAAGTAAGACATGCCCATAAGTAGATGGCCTGTTTGAAAAACTAGCCTTCTGTTTCTTCATCTGACAAATGGGGTCAGTAACTCCGTTTCCACTGCATGGTTCACAAAGCACTTGGCTATCTAGTCCTCGTTTGTTCCTTGTGGCAATCCTGAAAGTCGAGAGGCAACAGGTAAAAATCTTCAATTGCATGTGTGCAGATACAAAATTGAGGTGCAAAGAGCTTTACTGTCTTGTCAAAAATGTGTGCAATAGCCTCCTGTGTGATTTTTTGAGAGAACAGAGAAAGAAAAGATACACTTAGGGAAGCTCAGTGATCCATATAAGAGGAAGTCAAGTCTACAATGAGGAAGAGTATAGATTTTGGTCAGACAGCTGTGTTTAAATTCCAGTTCTGGTCAGGCGCAGTGGCATATGCCTATAATCCCAGCTACTCAGAAGACTGAGACAAGAGGATCACAAATTTGAGGATAGCCTGGTGAAACTTGGTGAGACTCTGTCTCAAAATAAAAACAGCTGGGGATATAGCTCAGTGGTACAGTAGCTCACCAATACCATTAAGAAAACTAACAAGAAAACAGAGGAGGGGGGTGTAAGGATTTTATGAGGATTTAAAGGAATAACTGCAAAATGCCAGTACAGTGATTAGAATATAGTCGGGAGATTCATTATTCAAGGTACAATGGCCTGGGTTAAACAAATTGAATAACCTAGGGAGACAATTTTCCATTTCTGTGCCTCAATTTCCTTAATCATATAACGAGAATAAATTAATAATATCTATTCATGGGTTGTTAGGGGAGAAAGTAATTCATGAAAGTGCTTAAAACAACATCTGGTACTTGATTTAAAAAAAAAAAAAAATCTCAGTTTTTGAGGCTGGGGCTATACTTCAGGGGTAGAGAGCTTGCCTCCCACATTTGAGGCACTGGATTTGATCCTCAGCACCACATAAAAATAAATAAATAAATAAATAAAGATGTTGTGTCAATCTATAACTAAAATAATAATAATTTTTTTAAAAAAGCTCAGTTATTTTATATTCATCCCCCATTCCCATTTTCCAAATAAGGAAACCTCAGAATAGAGAGGTTAATATATTTGCCCATGTTCAACAGCTAGCAAGTAACAGCTTCAAATGAAAGTCTAACTTCAACGTCTATATGTGAATCCCTCCTCAGTCCCTTCCATCTTGTATCCCTGTGGGACTTTGAGTCAGAGACAAATTCTACCTATTAGCTGTGTCATCTTGGAAAGGTTACTTAACCACCCCAAAGTTCAGTTTCTCTTTATAAAAATAACAGTAACTATCCACATAAGATTGATTCAAAGTAAAAATGTACATGTTTAGCAAAGTGACTAGCAGTCAAGTACTCAATAAAAGTTAGCTGTCATTATTATGATTATTATATGTTCTTGCTCCTCACACTTCAACCCCTGCAACTTGCTTCAGCCCTTATTATTCAGCAGTGTCACCAATAACCTCTCTACCACAAGATACAGTAGACACCTTCAGTCCCAATCCGATCTGACTGCCCAGCAGTATTCAACATTCTTGGGAGACACACTATTCTCTTACCATGCCATCCACTCCTCTGGTTTTCTTACTACCTCTTAGTTCACTCCTTGGCCATTCTTAAATATTTATCCTCTCTCTAGACCACGGTCTCTCATCATTGACATTATGGGCTAGATAATTCTTTGCTATGTAGCCGTCGGGTTTTCCCCTGCTCTCCTTTCTATTCCCGATGCCTGGCACAGAATAGGTTCTCGGGAGTACTTGCTGAAGAAATTAAGATTTGATGATCTGGCTTGTTCATTTCACATTTTCATCATTAAAATGTCTCACTGTTATCCTTGCCCCAGAGCTCAGAATCTAGGGGTGAAGGAGAGGCACATGTTAAGAACTGCTTACAGTACAAGAATCTCTCTCTCTCTCATCATAAAAACAACTCTGAGATTGGCTGACACTAGTACTTCATTTTCTCCTCTCCTACAATTCCTAAGTTTCATCAACTTAACTCTTCTCTCCTTTATGCATGAGGAGACTGAGCCAAAAGAATGTCTTTGGCCTTCTTTACATTACAAATAACACTTGGTGCTCTTTTCTTATAAATACTTAGCAAACTACTATTCAACCTTTGAAACTCACTTCAAATATCACATCACATCTTTAGTGGGGCACCTGTAATCCCTTATATTTAGGAGGCTGAGGCAGAAGGATTACAAGTTTGAAGCCAGCCTGGGCAGCTTAGACCCTGCCTTAAAAACAAATTAAAAAATAAAACCAATAAAACAAAAAAGGCTGTAAATGTAGCTCAGTGGTAGGGCACTTACTTAGCATGTTCAAGGCCCTGGATTCTATCCCCAGTACTGCCCTCCTCCCCAAAACTAAACTCTTTAATGAAGCCCTCCCAGAACAGAATACCCAAGGGTTTATTACAGACTCCACACTATCTGTAGCAGTCTATACATATCTCTCATAGTACATCTGTTCATGTTCCTACTGAAACAGACTGAAAGCTCTCTAGGGAAAAAGCAATTCAAGTATTTTAATATCTATTAAGTATCAGACACAATAGGTTTAAGAAGGGTGAAGGGAAGTATTGCCCAAACAGGAACAGCAGGTACTTGGGCATAATGGTTAGAGGCAGAGACTCTAGAATCAAATTGCCTGAGTGTGAATTCAGATCCCACCCACATTTACTAGTTTTGTTAACTCCGAGCAAGTCATTTAACCCACTTATGCTGCAGTTTCCTCATGTCAGAGACAAGGATAAAAACAGTAACACTGTGTGAGCATTAAATGGTTCATCACCATAAAATGCTTACAACTGTGCCTGGAGCACAGCAAGAGCTCAACCTGTATTAGACACTCTCCTAAATGCCTTTGTTTCCCTGACAAACTGTAAGAAGCTCAAATAATTTGCTCTAGTATCCACCATAATCACGGATCATAAGAGAGGAGAGGAACATGTAAACAAATACTTGTATACACGTTTCTAAATATCCTAACAGTCTTTCAACCCTAAAACAGCATTCACACTGGGCGCCGTGGTGCACGCCTGTAATCCCAGCAGTTTGGGAGGCTGCGACAGGAGGATCACGAGATCAAAGCCAGCCTCAACAAAAGTGAGGCGCTGAACAGCTCTGTGAGACTCTGTCTCTAAATAAATACAAAATAGGGATAGCATGTGGCTCAGCAGTCAAGTACCTCTGAGTTCAATCCCCGGTCCCCTCCCCCAAAAAACAAAACAAAAACAGCATTCACTTCCACGATTAGAGGGAAAGAAAACAGTCTTTTAATTCCCTTTTCTGTGATCTCGGCTCATTTTGTGCTGTTAACTCACAACTAGCTGCAGCCTGGTGCGAACCTCAACCAGCTCGCCTGCATCTCCAGGGATCTCTCTGCACCCAAACACCATGTCCTGCACAGAAACGTTCTCCTCAGACGACCTACCCCTTCCTTCTTGTCCTTACGATCAGAGCATTAGCCACTTTTCCCTTGATTACTCAAGTAACCCCCAAGGATGGGGTCGTTGTTCCTATTTTTCAGACAAAGAAGTTGAAGCTCAAAAAGGAAAAATGCGCCAGGCTCAGACCAAGCAGTTAGGTCTAGGTCGGGTCTCAACCTGAGTCTATTGACTCGAGCGGTAAGCAGGAAGCAGAGAGGACCAGGGCCTGACGCTCGCAACCCCCACTCCCGCTTTTTCTCTCTCCCGGTCCCTGCGCCATCAAGGACTCTCCCTGGCACAATCCAGGGAGCCCAAGCCAGATTTTGACGCATTACCCCATAAAGATCCAGACCTTGTCGGGTCTGTATACCTGAGGTAGCCGCCGCCATCTCGCGTCGCCTCAGCAGCGAGGAGGACCCAGCAACCATTCCACTCCCTCCTTCGGGCCCGCCTCTCCCATTCGAATTGCCCGGTGACCCGCCCCTCTCCCAGGATCCACCAATCACGGCTACTCGCTGCCGGAAGCCTCTGCCTGTGATTAGTAACTAACCCGCCTTCTAGAGCTGGTCTGTGGGTCCCGCAAGTAAGTTTCCCCTGGCGGAGGACGCATGCGCACGCACATCGGCCGCGCAGCCGTTAACTTCGGGCATGCGCTCGGGCGCGAACCCGGATGCAAAAGGCATAGACGACAGTGGCTGATGCCGGTACTGGGAACCGAGCCCGGCACCACCTTCAGGCTTTCAGGTTTCCAGGCCTAGATTTGCGTGAGTGTTTTCTTCTCATTTTTTTTTCCTCCTCAGCTACGAATCAAGTAGACAGTGATCCAAGGCACTTGATCGATTCCTCCAGAAATGCCCTTGTGCTGAATACAATTTTCACTATTTTAGTGGCAGAGAGGTGATTATAGGTAAGAAAGGGAAACGGGACAATTCTGTAAACGATGGCAGTGATCCTCACTTTGTACATTTTATTGCCTCAGAAGTTGTTTCACACGTCCGTGTGGTGCGGGTGGTTTTGTTAATTGTGGGAGTTAAGGGTGCTGCAATATCCAGTCAGTTTTATAGATCTGGACCACCCTGTGTTCTGGACAGTCACATTGTATTCATCTCTTGCTGAGCCCAAGGCCACTGTATGTCCCCTGTGTCACATGTCTGAGCTGAGGAGACCAGCTCGATGGAG